CTGATTTCAGTTTAAACTTACCTAAAAAGAAGAGACTGTCGGTCTGGTGCGAGAGAATCACACTGCAGTTAATGCCATCAAGGTCAGTCTTTCAAACAGTGGATACATTGTGATTCTTCCACCCCTCAAACTACATATAGAGCAATTCAAGTGTCTGGAAGCTTGTGTTTTAATACTGTGATATGCTCTGACATGGATGTAGTACGAGTGATAGGAGTAAGGAGGCATGATCCATCACTGACGTAATGACTCAGCTAATGTTCGTACTAGCACTTGTCAACAGACAGCTAAAATTAATCTTCTTTTTAAATTATGAATATTACAATATTCAAGGTTACGCTGTGCGTGTGAGAGTGCTGCTGTAACCAGCTGGTAAAAACAGCTAACCTGGAAAACTTTCTCCCACTATCCCATGACAGATTTGTGAAATGTTCTGCTGTTTGGCAAGTGTTTGTTCTGAGCATAAACAACAGTTTAAAACCACAATTAACCCTCTGCTTCCTTCAGCCGGCACTCAGGACCAAAAACCAGTCTTTAAACTTTATTATGGTGACATTTTTGGCCATATCGTCCAGCCTTAGTGCAACTGTGTCCTCTGGTGTGATGAAGTACCACTGAATACAGGTCTTGCCATCTCATTCAAGAATCCAGTGGCCATTCCATACAACATGCACAAGCAATTCTGGATCACCAGATAATGTTCTCAGCTCATGTTGCAAACCTGATTCAGTCATGCACCTTTTCCTCTACAATATCTGAAGGATTCAACCTGTTCTCTCCAGGGAGGCCAGCCAGGTGCTTGTTCAGTCTTTTGTCATCTCAGAGTTTGACTTGGTCTCCCTACTAATAGCCTTGATTTCAGAAAAAATGGTTGGAGCTGCAGGGGTCTACAAACTTCTGGACAAATAGTCTACATTGAATATCAATTACTATAAAAAAATACACTATACATTTGGACTGCATTTGAAATGAAGCAATAACAGGATTATTCACACAAATATGACAAATACTCGGATCCAATTTTAAAAAAATTAAAATGACTAAAACTTGAGGTTGTCTGTCTTTTTTGTTTTTGATGCACAATGACACCTGGTTAAATAATTAAAAATAAACCTGTGTAGTTTACCTGACTTTAAATTCTCATTACTGCAACACAGCAAGGTTTGAAGATATCTGTAAATGCCCCCCCCCCCATTTTTTAACAATCTGTACGTATTTTTCGAACTAAGTATTTCAGAGAATAATTATTAAAAAGGCATTTATCGTGTATAATGTGTTTAAAAATGTTATCTCATTACCGCAACACACTGACAGCTATTGAGGTTTTCTTTTTACTTGTGCCACATAACATTTTGTTGTTCGGGTCACTTCCTTATAGTTTAGAAGAAAAACAGAGTAAAGAGACTCAACACTTAAAAGTAATACAAACTCACCTTTTCTAACTAAATAAAGCAAAAAAAATATATCAATAAATATCAATAATGAGAAACACGTGTTTTGTTTTGCTCTCTGTGTCAACCAGAGGGGGGTGGATTCCCCTTTTTGAGTCTTGGTTCCTCTAAGGGTTTCTTCCTATTGGTCTTAGGGAGTTTTCCTTGCCACCGTCACCCTTGGCTTGCTTACTGGGGCTTGGTAATGACAAATTTGTTGATTAAAGACACACTTAGTAAGGTAAATTAATGCATTTATTGAGAAAAGCTGATGCTGGTTTTGTATTTGCCAACTTTCGTAATTTGTTCTATGTTTAAGGCACCTCGGTGTAACTGCAGCATCATTTAAGGTGGAATAGAAAATTCAAATAAGAAGCAGGTGAATAAGAAGCTGACTTTTGTTTTATACACGTTAATGAGTTTACTATTTAAGAGCTTTGGCGGACACGTTTTCGTTTTCGAGTTTTTCGTAAAATCTCACACTGGAATTTTTTTAAACTATTAAGAAATCCAGGTTGCACGGATCCAGTCCAACAACGTAGCTAATCTTCTCCTTATTGTGTTTTCTGGAGAGTGCATCTAAAGAGCAGACATACTTTTTCATTTAACAACAGAAATGAAGAAGCGCTACAGAGGTCACAAATATGAAACCAAAAGACAGGTGCTCCTGGGGCATGGGTGCAGAAAACTCACAAAAGAAATGGTTCCACGCTGGGGAAGGCAAAAAATCCAAAAAAGTATCCATCCGCATCCACAAGGGACATGCAAAATACATCCCAGAGCAAAGAAATCCCAGGCACACTGTCCTTAGAAAAACTATAAAAAGCCTTTATTGAAACATGGCACTAAGTATAAAAATGTACTGATGCGTTGCAGCGTTCTCAGGCCTTCATCAGGACACAGAACAATGGCATGTCAAATTGGGATTTATTTTGCATGTGCCTTGGGGATGCGGATGGATACTTTTTTGGGCTTTTGCCTCTCCCAGCATGGAACCATTTCTTTTGTGAGTATACTTTTTCATGTTTTTCATGGTCATTCTTATCTGTTTTGCTTTTGGTCTTCAGCCACCTGCAGGGTTATAAGTGCAGTAACAGTAATGAGACCTACTCCATCAGAGCACAGTGAGAGTTACAGCTTGCCTACCAATATGGTGATGTGGTCTTCTTAATAATGCAATCGAATACTATGAATTGATGCGCTAAATTACACATTTCTTTTTATCTACATCATGCTTATGACACTCAAACATTCATGGACATGTTTTGAGGTGGTTCCGTGAGAATGACCCAACTATGAAAGCAAAATGTCGACTTAATTTTATTTTGAGGCTGAGTCTTTCTGAATTATAGAAGGGGAGGGCTTCACCATGACGTGAAAAGCTGCATGGGAAAATAATGCATCAACTCAAGAACGACGTTTCTTGACGAAAAGTAGCAAAGAACTTAGGGATTTCATCATCTACGGTACAAAATATCATTAAAGGATTTAGAGAATCTGGAGAAATTGCTGTATGTAAGAGACAAGGCCAAAAAACAATATTGGCTGGATGTAATCTTTGGACCCTCAGGCATAAAAAACGGACATGATTCTGTAGTAGAAATCACTGCACGGGCTCAGGAACACTTCCAAAAAACAGCCAGCATCCGTGATGGTAATGGTGGTGCATTAGTGCACATGGCATGCATGGGTGACCTGCACATCTGTGAAAGCCCCGTTATTGCTGGATGATATATACAGACTTTGGAGCAAGATATGCTGCCATCCAGATGATGTCTTTTTTAGAGAAGGCCTTGCTTATTTCAGCAAGACAATGTCAAACCACATTCAGTACATATTACAACAGCATGGCTCCGTAGTAAAAGAGTCCAAGTGCTAAACTGGCCTGACTGCAGTCCAGATCTGTCACAACTGAAAACATTTGGCACAATATGAAACAAAAATTACAACAAAGGAGACCCCGAACTATTGATCAGCTGAAATCCTATATCAAGCAAGAACGGTCAAACATTTCATTTCCAAAATCTTTGTACTTTTTTCAATTAAACATCAAGTTTTAATGATTTGGACATCATTGCACGCTGTTTTTATTTACCCTTTGCACAGCAACTCATTTTTTTGGAATTTTCTGGAGTTATACCTAGGATGTAAATCTAAAAGAATTTTATATTCTATTTAAAATAATTTAATAATGCTAAGTCTTTTCTGCTGTGTGTTTAAGAATTAAATGTACTTATTCATCTGAGTAAGGAGCTGTGCTGTTTGATCTGTGATTAGGCATAATTTATAAAGTGAAAATGAAATGTTTCTTCAAAGATTTTTCCAAGTGCAGTTCAGTTTAAGACCTTCCCTGCTAAATGTGAACTACTGAATCCAATTATTAACTGATGCCATGTCTGGCGGAAAAGTCATACACAGCCCTTTCATCCATTCCCCATGGTATACACAATGGATCAAACCTGCAATCCTATAGTTCAGGAGTGTCCGATCTTATCCACAAAGGTCAGGCTTGACTTTCATTCCAAACAAGCATGAGCACACCTTACTCTGACCTGTTAAGTCAATCGGCCTCAGGCTTCAAACAGTTGATCACAACAGCCCTATGTGGACATGACTGCATACCTATAGTTGCTCAACCACCTCTTAAAAGAGTGAAGCCACATCATGCCCTTCAGAGTCTATATTACTCCTTATTTACTTTCAAGGACTGAATTCCTGCAGGAATGTTTCAGGCTTTTTCGGCCTGATAGTTAAATTATCAAAATAAACTGACTATTCCAAATCAAACAAAATGAAGTACCAAGAAATGAACAGAAACCAACAAAATTGGTAAAAATTATGGGAAGCTCCCATAGCAAGACCCCATGCTACAAAATCTGTATTATTAGGCAGTGGTCATCAATCCTCCTCCTGGAGATCTACTTTTCTGCAGAATTTAGTTCCAATCTGTATCTAATAAATTGTCATACTCACTTAAAACTAATGCATCTAACCTAGCCAATCAGGGACTTGGGAAGAAGTTAATATGCTATAGGAAGTGTGCCATACAGTAGCTGGAAGTATACTCTACAGAAAGGTACATCCCCAGGACCAGGGTTGGTGACCACTGATTTAAAGCTTCCTGAGTTTCTGCTGTTTGTTTAAGAGATTTGACAATTGAGAATCATTGAGAAATCAATTCACAGATAACAAGCGACAGTCAGTAGAACACTGTTTGATCAAAACTATTGTGAGTCTGTTCAATTTTTGACCACATTACATTATGTCAGATATTGGTTATTGGAATCTTTAGTTCCTTAAAATCGGTATTGATCATAAAATATTCTTATTGGTCAAGCTCTACTAAGATATTGTATTTGTCTACTGTATACTGTGTTCACTAGGATATGCAGGTACAAGAATTGGTCCTAAGCCAGGGCAGCATATCATACAGACAGATAGCCCAATACATACTCAGACCCCTCAGACTTAGACTCACCAAACTTTGTAGATGGTTTACAAACAAGCCCACTAAACATTACAATGAAATGCTACAGTCACCTTGAACAGGTGAAATGTTTTGTCTCTCACCTTTAACGTTCTGGCAACCTCCACATGGTTGTCGTAGACCAGAATGTTGGCAGTCAGGTTCTCTCGGTCTTGAGAGTTAGTGGGCTCTCCCTCTAAGGCACCTGGTGCCACAGCCACATTAAGAAGGGGGTGCTCACACTTTGTTCCATCCCACACCTGAGCAAAGAAGACACTTCCATTTTAACGGCTAGATGATCAGCACAAAATAACATCATGTGATTTGTTTTTCACAGTTCCTAACATTTTCAGGGACTGTGGGTGGTGTTTTGACATACCATCTTATATTTTTGGCTTACGTACTGAGAAAGCACAGCCCTGTGAAGTTGGAAAGCTTGGCATTTACGGAAAATGAACAGCCTTGATCTGTTGCATTTTGCAAAGCCTGTATGATTAACAGGCTGTACTATAACCTCCAAGGGCATGCAGATATAGCTGTCCTTTTTTAGACGAGCCGCAGGATTTCTCCATGGTGTTATAAAGATTTTCGTCATAAAGGGACTCATTATTATCATCATTATTATTATTATCCACCTCTTTGAAAGGACTACATACTACTTTCTGTTTACTCATAGATACATGCATTCATATATATAAGCCAGAGCACAGGCAACACATATGTGTCCCTATAACTGTGGCATACTTTTACTTTATCCGTGAAGTGCAACCGACAGTTATAATGTCCCTCACCTTAAGCAGCATGCATCTGCTGTCCATGCAGGCCTTCGCTAGCAGTTGGCAGGTCAGATCAAAGTACATCTTGGGCTGCACTGATGACAGAGGAACAGTAGGCTCACTAGCTAGCAGTGACTGGCTTGATGCCCACTGGCGCAGTGCCTCCACTACACGTTTGTCAGCTTCATCAAAGTGGAAAGTCCGGCTTGATGCGCGTGGCTCAACTGGGCTATTCAACATTCCATCAAACGTAACGGTAGACCAGCCCAGACTGGTCAGAAGAGTCATGGATCCATTGAACATCTGAGTCTGTGTAGAAATAGCAACAACTCTCTAAGCCAAAGGTGGACACTTCATGACTGTCTGTTAGTTACATAGACCTAAATCAACTACTTTTATTGAGATTACAGAGATTTATAGATTCGATTACAGTGCTTGAACTTTATAGTGCATGCAATCATTGAAGCTCTTCAAATGTGTTTTAAACCTGAAAGCAGACAAATTTAGTCAACTAATCTCCTCACCTTCACTCTGTGGAGCCGAATAATGTCTCCGATTCTGAAGATTTTAGGATGGTCCTCAAGCCTTTCACTGAAAATAGTGCAGCCCACTTTAGCATTAGACTGGTCTGTGATCTTCAGTGTGGAACAGTAATCTACAGAAAATCAATGGGCTCCATGTAAGAATCTATAGCAATTCACTTTCCTTCATACCATCCACTACAAGCATTAATAAATACAAGGGTTGAATAAAACACTTCTTATTACAAATTAGTGCACGCAGGCAGGTACAACAAAATTTGGTTGCCATCTACTGACATTAACGATTTCACAAACCCAGAAGTGTTTACATGAGTGAGATTAATTTTTGTAGACATTTCAACACAGTTTGAGGGGAAAAATTACTACACAAGCATCAATCTCATTACAGCACAAACAACGCCAGATGGAGAATGTTTCTGCAATTCATAAGATTAACTTATTACGCTGCTCCAAACAGTTATTTACTTACTACATAATGAAACCTGCTGAATAAGAGTTTACTTATAGGAAAAGTGACATAACCTGCTCTTTCTTATTGTCTACAATTTCCAGTCTCTTTAATGTATGCACAGCCCTGGATAAGTTTGTTTACTGCTTGAGACACACACCAAAATATAGAAACACGTGTTTGCAACATTCAATGCTAACAAAAGGCATTAAAGCAGGTTAGCATTTTAAAGCTCATTTGTGCTATGGCCTTTCACATTCAGCACTGATATGGCACGTAGTGTTTGCCTCTTTGAACACAATGCGTGTGCACAATGCACAAGTCTTTTGGCTGATTAAATTGGACGCAAGCCTAGACTCTCTCTTTGCTCATCACAACGATCCATCGACAGGAGCCTTTGACTGGGATGAGGATTGATTTTTACCACTTTACAGGGTGCCAGCATGACACAATCTAAAGTATGATCAATGATCTGAATGTGTTAAGGCACACATAATTGCGTGAAGCTGGAGCAGTCCAGCACCCTGATGGAGTGGAAGGGCTGTAATTGGTTAGCTCCACTGTTTTGGTTTCCTTGCTGTGATCTACACCATGACCCGAGGGTTAGAAGGATTTCATGCTAGCATCAGAGTCAAGGGAAGTGTAAGGAAAGGGGGATGGGAAAGAAAAGAAAGGCATAAAAGGACAAAAGGTTTGAGAAACAAAGCAAGTAATATAGAGAGATACAGTGCTCCTTTTACTGCAACATTAAATTCACTAAAAAACACTTTTGCGTGTGTCAAAATGTCAAAAACAGAGAATGTCTGGTCATCCAAAACTACATATTACTATACTATAATATGCATACTCGTAATGGTGTTGCACATGAACTTACATAAACTGTTCAGCTACTAACACTGATTACAAGATCTGAGACCAGAAACCGGAGTAAAGATTTGCATCTGAAGACCTTTCCTATAATACATTATTAAAGGTTAGAGTGTACTGGTCAGCACTGGTACTTTTTACAGCATATAAGATTTCTTTTAGCATAAGTTTTCTTCAAGAGGTCAGAAGTACTCTGATTATGATTAGTACGAAGGCTGAAAATGATTGATCCCTGGTGGAAAGAGGCCCTTCAACTAAAAGCCATCCCTCTAAAGAGCTCCCATTTTGACCTCCATATAATGCGATAAGTGCTCTACCCCCACCTCCTTCACAGTCGTCATCCCATTTCCAAAGTCACTAGTCTCTTTACTTGCCCTGAAATGTTAAGAGCACTGCTGAGAGCCATCTTTCCCTCAGCATTACTCCGAGCTTGAGGGGCACCAATGACAGTAAGACACACTATTACTGCTTTTTTGGAGACTGACCTGTGCCTTTGGTGGGAAAAGGCTGCTTGAAGAATGTCACCACACCATACACGTTCACTATCCTCCTGGGTTTCAGCTCATTCAAAGGAATGTAAGTGTACCTGTGCTAAATGAAGAGAAAAGGTAGAAGGTCATGAACCAGTGATGCATATGAATGCAGAAACAAACAAGCTTACAACAGACACAGAGAAGCAGACAGACACTTGATGTGAACCACACATCAGAACAATTGAAAAGGGGAAAAGCCTTCCAAAGGAGCATTGAAAAATCAAGGACATGGAAACAAACATTTTCACAATATGCAAAAGCATAACATGTTTATTGCTTAAATAAGCACAAAAACAAACTGAAAATTTACTGTAGTGTGCATTAGAAATGGCTGAATAACTCTAAACTGCCCAAGGAAAGGCCTTGAGCTTGAAATGTACTGTAAGGTCTGCGTGCTCTTCCTGAACATCACCACAAAACAGCCGATTAAAGTCACAATATTGCAGTAATACAACACAGAAATAAAGGCATGTATATATTACATCTTGCTCAATGATTTTAACAAAGATATCTTTTGAAAACCGCAGCACTGTATGCTGGCCTTGAACTATCTATTCACACTAGACAATATTGCTTTCCCAGATTCTAGCAGTTCAATCCAAACCTGTAATGTTTTCAGCAGTCTTAAGAGACTAAAACCCAAGACATGCTCTATTAGCAATAATCTATTGAGGACTATGTCAAGGACAGTGAAAATGTGTAATTCTGTGACTATGCTAAATCATCTAGCTTAAAAATTCTTGTGTGTACCGAAGTTGGTTTGGTGCATCTTCCAATCATATTCAGAAGACAAAGCCTTCCATAACAAGCCTAAAAAAATCCTGATCCAAAACTTCTTAAAATTCTGAGCAATCTGACTCCTGACAATATCCGGCATCCTATAATCAATTACTGGAAAAAGAAAATAATGCCACCTCTAGACAAAGTGTACAACGACCAGCTACTTAATTATGTACACCTCCTTATATTTACCCTCTTTGTGCATTTTATCAGCTCCACTTACCATACAGGTGCACTCTGTAGCTCTACAATTACAGACTGTAGTCTACCTGTTTCTCTGTATAATTTGTTTACACTCTTTACCCTGTTCTTCAATGGTCAAGACCTCCACAGGCCAGAAGGGGAGTCTCATGGCTGTATGTTTAGCCTCCTAAAAATGATGTGCCACAGGAAATTTTAAATCAGCTGTGAGTATGGAGGTTTTGTACACTGTGTGTTCTTAATTGGAGGGTAGTCTCACTTACATATTGCAGACCACAGGGACAGGAAAGAAGGTAAACAACATGAGTAGAACTGCATGTAATATAATGTTTGATCCTGTATTTTTTTCCCTACGGTCTGGCTTGCAAATACACTGACTTTCTTCAAGAAGCGCAATGCCTCTATGCATAAAACCAAAAGGGGCTCACAATTCGCTTGAACAAATAAATCCACATGTACCAATGCATCATGCAAGTTCCTAGCTCTATAGTGGACAAAACCAGGCAAATTTGAAAAAATTCTTATTACCAATGTCATTGAAATGTATTACAAGCCAATGTTTTTTTTTATTAATATTCACGTACTGACGTTGGAGGATTAGTTCTATACTGCAAACGATACTCCAACTCATCCCAAAGGTATCAGAAGAGCTCGATCACTCACTGCCCCACAGCCCAATGCTGGGTAATTTTATGTCCCTCTAGTCGACACTTAGCACTGGCTATGGTGACCTAAGGCTTAAGTGCAGCAGTTCCAGAGCATTCCATTTGATTAGCAATGCTTTTCTATGGAGAATGTACAAGCTAGGTGCGTGCAACTGAACACCTATGTGAGCAATGAGTAAACTTTAAAGTACCTAAATTCACCAATAGAGGATGTCTGCATACTCATTAAAAAAATATACTGTATATGTTGTACAGCATATTAGATCTGTATTATTGAAATGTAGTTTATTGTTGGATGGCTTAGTATGCAGTGGACGGTTACTGGCCTTGTAAAGCCATTTCCTGGGCAATAAATTGATTCTACAGCTTGTTAGCTTCCAGCTGAAAGTCATCATTCCTGTTGCATATTTGCCTGATGCACAAGAACCGGCTATACAGAAGACTTCTCTTAAGGGGTATGTGCTGAAAGCTCTTTGCAAAAAGCAGTGATATTAATAAAAGATACAGAAAAATAAAATCAATGACAGTTCCAATTTTTTCAGCATCTAAAAATTTGTTCAAAAACAGATTCTAGTAATGTTATATTAAGGTTTATAGTTTTTAGAAGGAATGAGAGGCAGTCAGTGAAGATCCTCTGAAAACTATGAAAATCTCATCAAATGTATCATATCGCATTATATAAAAAAAATAATAATAAACAGATCAGGCAAGCACCAGACTGGACAAATTATGTGTTTAAATGTGCTCCAAAAGGCACTTGTCTTCAATAGTGTATTTTCATCTTATAGACCCATACAGTCAAGTCTAAACTTTATGTGAGCAGTGCCATGCCTAAAGTGTGGGTTGAAGACCATCTAAAGTGGCAACATTCACCCTAGTCCAGTCACCAGGATAAATGACCACTAATTTCCTGCCAAATTATTTAACCAAGCTTGAAAATGCCTTGGAAAGATATGGACATAAAATTATTAACAAAATCTTTCAAATCAGTTTTCATAAAATAAAGTCATGTAAAATGATTGATTTTGTATGGAATGTTCTTTAGATGCCCTCAAGCTTAGGCTGGTTATACAACATCTAAATATTACCTCATTCAGAACCTATGTATGGAAATATAGTATCAGAATGGATTCAAGTTTGGATTAGTTAGTCCATTATAATTTGCAATCTGACTGGTCAATTTGTATGGTGTAAAGAAACTCTGCAATGTTCCCAAAGTACCGCATATTAGGGCTGCATGATATGGGCATAAAATATGTTCGATAAAGCTGTTGTATAGCAGTGACAATATGAGAGGCGATAAATTATTTAAAAAATAAAATTGTGACTGACTGGATGTGATGTAGGTACAGACTTTTTTGGATGTGTCTACAAATCTACCTAATCTCTCATTTAAGCAAACTGCAAAAATACAAAATTACAAAAGCACCATTCATTATTGTGCAAAATAAAAAGAAATAAAATTCTAACAGCTAGTTACATCAGAACTGCTAGCACAATTTTGTGCACCGAAAGGCTGGGAAACAGTCAACATTACCTCAACAGCTATAAAGGCTACAAAAACAAATAAATATATATATTTTTAATTTCAATACTAGTTGTAAGAACAATCCTGCCTGATTTTAGTGATGGACTAACTGCAGTGGAAAAACAGTGTGCAGGCAAGAGGAGAGTCCAGAAAGCAGTTTTTTTTGTAAACATAAAGTCCAAAGTACTTCACTAGTGTTGAGATGAAGCCAGTTTGACTGTCAACTGCAACCTGAGTAAAACTACACTGAAATATACATAGACTCACAAGCCAGCCTCTTTGGTTATCACCAGAGAGTTAGGTAGATTTCGACACTCAACATGGTTATGAACTGCCTAGTTACAGGCAACAGCTTGCTAGAAGGTCATAAGCTGGCATTTAGCTTGAGTTTTCGATCAGACTGATTAAAACAAAAAAAAAAAACAGTGCACAGACCAGTGGATAGCCATGAGAGACAATAATCTAATAGCTGTGACTATCTTAACGCTATGGGCAAAGTGTCCACAGCTGAGACTAACAAAACTTCTGCTCTATGCCTCAAAATGAAGCATGTGCCACTAGTTCCTAAAAGCAATCTACTAACAAATTTTTTTTATTGAAGTCTGGAACTATTTTCCTCTATCTATGATAATTGTCAACCAGTCGACTAGTCAAAATGACTTCATACAAACCCTACCACAAATAGCCCAGACTGAAACATTACTGTTATGCAATAGACACGATGCTTAATACCCATGACTTTCTTATTACTGTGAAGCCAGCTCAAACAGGACTAATTACTGAGAGAGCTCCGAGTTCAGCAAATCCAGGGTCACTCATTCCATAATTATCAAATTTGTACAAACAATGAACATTCCACATTCATTCCGGGTTTAATTACAGCAATTGTTTAAATGACAGTATGAAATAACTGAACATCATGAGGAGGACCACACTTGAAGCTTATCACTCCTATCCAACCTTCTACAAATTTCCATCTCTACCTTCCATTTCCTATGAGAATTTTTTTGCCCCCCACCACCACCTCATCTCCTACCTGATCCTCAGTCCTCTCTCTCAGCCCTACCTCTGTTTCTCAAAGGACAGGGGTTCAAACTTCTAGTTTAAAGTAGAAGTCACCCAAACTCCAGCCCTAGTTGTTTGAGTTCTTTCCACTCCTACGGTCATTCAATCTGTTGTCATACTGTAATCATATATAGAAGGTGTGTTCTGAACTCACAAATAGGGCTTCAGACAGCTGTGCTTTAGGCATAAATGTAAGTACCAAATACAGTACCTCAGAACTGACAGCAGAAGATCCGCTAGAAGAAGAAACAGCAGAAGAGCACACCTATGACACACAGACCACATGAAATCAATTATAAACAAATATTACAAACCACAGAGGTTTTTGGTTAAGATAAAACACTTTATCTGTGTATTCAAGGGAAAAAAATCTCTTAGTTAACATTAGATACTTACACACATACAGGCATCAGGGTCACTCATCTCCAAGTGACAGGGATGCAGTCTGTCAGTTTGTTCAGTGGGCGACTTACTGATGGTGAAGCCAGCCAATAAAACAATGTCCTACAGCAGTATGTAGTAGGATAAAAAAAAAAAAGGTACAAATGTTAGTAAACTGATCTTGAGCAAACATGACAGAGGTGAGCTCAGTGAACCTAGCCAACATTAGTGACCTAGTAATGGCTACAATTTCACTGTGGAACTGAGTGAGTAATCTAATGACTAAGGCTCAACATAAAGAAGAAAAGAGGTAGTAAAGCATGCCTTGTCACTAGGCCGGTCACAATCAGGAAATTTTACCAGAAGAATAGCTGTCGTGTAAATAATTCTGACTAACAATTTAATTGCCTGTTTTCCTCAATGCAAATTTTTTTAAATTATAAGCCTAAAGCAGCCAAACAGACCAATTAGTTATCTTGCTCCCTAGCTGTCTATACATAGTAGCTTCTAACTGAAGACAGACACAGCTCCAACTCAAATCAACAAACGTTTCCGACTGCATCCCTCAAAACAGGTTACAGCACCAGTCAGAAGTTAGAACTTTTGTTTTTATTAATATGACATGTCTCAATGAAAGCATTTTCTGCTTTCTTTTATTTTTCCATGCATTCACCTTCTATTTGTTGCGTTGTATTACTACAAAAACTAACAAGAGAGAAAAGTGCGGTCAGCTTAAATAATTGTGATCAGCTCAAAGAACAGCATTCACACAATTATATAATACACACTGCTGAATTTCTACAAAAAAAGTACTGCTTTAAATTTTAAATGTGCATGTCCCTACCAAACTCCATATGAATAGTCAAAATCTGTATGAGAGAGATTCTGTCCTGCCATACTGCACCACATGATCCCATGGCACAAATGGCATCTTTATATGGTCATATTCTGTATACATAATATCACACAATGTCTGTTTCTCTAAATCAAGTGTATGGTTCTCTCTGTTGAACCCTTGCTCACAGAAAATGAACTGACAATGTGCAACGTGCTGACAATGTGCAGCACACTGCTCTTACAGCAGCTGCTAAATATCACAATAGTTTCTTCTGTAATCACGTACAGCGCTTAGCATCAGCTTGGGTTACAAAAGAAGTGCTGTAACCACATGAACAAGATGGAGAGTCACCCTCAGCATTACAGTAACAATAAAAGTGAGGATGAGCCACACAGAACAGCTGATAATGAAAGAGGGGCTCTTGGGGCAACGAACAAAATCACAGAAAAGCCAGCTGTGAAGATGAGGATAGGATCCTGAGAGGAAAAAGGGCCCATTCTAAGCACCACTGAAAAAAGCAAAGCACTAGGGCTCAGATTAAAGACATGTCTCTCAGGGAAGGTTTTTTTTTGTCAGATAGTCATCCCCTGTCAGCAGGGAGGCAATCCAAACTACGATGATTGTGTTATGTTTCTGATTCCGATGCGGCAAAATCCGTGTTATGCAACTGCTGTGCTTTTCACACCATATTCATACAAATGGGGTTACTTCAGAAAGGCATTTGAAAGCTTTCTGACTTGTTAGCGACAGCAGCATTTAGCACAGGCATGGGAGAGCAATGTACTGCTCAAAACAATAATAATACCAACACATTTCACTTACTGAACTAGATATTTTAGTAAAATATTCAACTTTCACAGAAACTAAATGATGTTTAATAGATACTGAACAGATTTCTCATGCCAGTCAACAGAGAGAAGGCCCTGGGTAAAATTATTAATGATAATTCATATCCATTATTACTGCAGAACACTATTTATTAATGTAACCTTTTAACTAAGTCAAGGGTATGGCTTATCCCAGCGGAGACCTCATTGATATCCCCATAAAATTCTTGAAAGGATACTTTAATGTGTTAAAGCAGAGGCCTACCCCTTGACTGACAGACTGCGAGAAGTCCTTGGCCAATGTGCCAAAAAAAATGACATTGATTGATGCATGCTGTGACGCTGAACTCTGTTGGGGGTCTTCCTCTGAGAAACAAAGAGGGGAGAAAGAGAAATAACGGAGAATAATAAGAGAAAACCAAAGAGGGAGTGAGAAGAAGCCCAGTAATGAAAAAGCTTTAACATGCACAAAGAGCAAGACTGACATGCTAAAGAGCAAGACTGGATCAATGAATGCGTCTTTCTGTAGTCAGATTCAATGACATTTTTATTTACATATATTTATACATTTACATATCAACACTGTCCTCCTACTACAGGTGCATAATAATGAAGATATGTATGTTTACTGCAATACTGCACACAAACATGAAACATGGACAATATAATGTAACCAAACTCAGCCATTATGTTGAAATCCTCTTAAACTGCAGCAGAACAGAATATGTTAGATGGCAGGCAATAATGCAGACAACATGAATTTGTGATCAACCATTATCATTCTTCTCATACAGAATAACTGCTGTCACTGAAGATCAACTGTTTCTCACATCTGCAATGTCTGAACCTGCACCTAAGCCTATACTTTCTCTGTGCAACTAAATATAAACCTGCTCTTCTCTACTATAGCCTGGGAATCAAGGCCATAGCCTCCCATAACCCGTCCCCATCACAGCAGTACGCATTAAGCAGTCTTACTGTTTTTTTGTTTTTTTTTTTAAGTTGAGCATTTTAATCAGAGCCTCACCTTGAATAACAGCCTTCAGCAAACAGTCTCTTTGCTTGCAAGATACTACAGGGCCCTTCTGAACCACTTTACCCTATGAAAAAGAATAAATAATCAGCACAGTAAAGACAGTTTTTTCCTTTTTCTCCAGATACATCGTCACTCATAACAAATCCTCACACAGTGCTGTGCAAAAGTCAGAGACCACCCTTTGTTTATTTAATTTCCAGTCAAAATGGCCATTAGGAACAAGTTATTTCCCAGGATCAGGACAAAAAAAGCAGAAAACGTACACATAATAGAACATTACACAGAATTAAACAACTATACATAATATCAACATTTCAGTATTATTCACATTATATTCAGTATTTGTCTCCAAACTTCGCTCTTATTACAGTTTCTATTCTTTTCAGAACATTTGTTTTAAGTTTTTTAAAGAAACTTGTAGTGATATTTTTCCACACCTTTAAAGTTCAGTCTTAGAAGTTGGGGATTATCTGCTTCTCAGGATCCAAATAATCCCAATTACAAATTTAAACTCCATAAAACCTTCCTCCACATGTCAGATGTCTAGTTTCTGTGTTCTAGTCCAAATGTACTTCCTTTTTTGTCTGATTTCTTATTCTTATCATCTGATGGTGACAGTTTTGGTGCTCTACTAGGTCTTGCACAGTCGTCCCATTTGTTGCCCTATTTTTCACTTACATCTTTTAATAATACATTTTAATGAACAGTTTTGCAAAGCCCTTTGACTTTCCCATTCCTTATGCAAATAGATTATCCTGTATCAAATCTCCTCAGAAATATCTCCTGAAAAATGAATATCTTGCACTTAAAGGCTGCTTTGAAATTAATTAAATGAAGGATGATCTTTGAATATTGCACAGTACTGTATCTCTGAATTGTTAAGAAGGAAAGAAATGTTTGCTTTACTTTCACTTGTGTAACGAGTATAATTTTGGACCATTTCTTAGACTGTCATGAAATGTCCACACAATGTAAAGAGCGGCTGGTGTTTGCATAAGTTTTTTAAAATTAAAATAAAAAACAATTAGAAGGTTTATATATGACGGTGATGAAATATAAGAGGAATGCAAAAGGTGGTGGGGAACAGCAATTTAATGCAACCTTCACACTCCTGTGTACACAGTCAGGTGTGAGTTTGATGTCCGGTATAGCGATCTGCTGCAAATGTGGGGGAACCTTGGTGTCCAGGTCACTGACATCTTTCACTGCATGGACTGGCATGCCTGACTGCTAATGTCTGCAATGATAAACAAGGCATGTTGGTTCAAAAGGTGCTACAAAGAAAACAGAAAACTCCAGTGACCAACTTGCTCACTTGACAGCTGACAGACAATGTTAGATCCTCACAACAATAGGATTTAAAGAAATACATAAACCAGCGACTGTATAGCACATTCTCAACAAGCAGCAGCTTAACAGGCTGCCTTACGTTGCATTGTAAAGAAGCACTCATGTGAAGATGCAAAAGGGCTCTGTTTCTAGCATTGAGCCTTTTCATTTCTCTCCTGCTGCAAGGCTCCATGACAATACCACAAAACAGAAGCAGCCTTCTTCTGCTTTCCAGTCACATGACCAAACCTTTCAACAGAGATTAAGCATGAGCCCTGTCAATCTCTCCAAATATAGACAGCCATGACTCTTCTGATGTGGATGACTAATTCAGAATGAGGCACTTTATGTGTGCTCATTTATTTCTGCAATCCCACTCCTGTGACACAAAAACTCTGAAAAGATATGTAAGACTTTAGCCTTGTGGTGATTTCCAATCTAGCCAAGCAGCTTTACCCCTTTCTGACCCCCAGGACGCCTTGCTTTTTTCATTCTACAGTTCATTCTACAGAGATTATAATATGACGCAATGTAATTAATACCGTACAATTTTGACGGCATGAATGAATGAATAATAATGAATGATGCCTAAATAGCTGGGAGTTAGCAATTTATGCCAGTCCAAAAGCAGCACTATTTGAAAAAAAGGGACGCATGGTGATATCAGAAACACATCAACAATGGCAGATAATTATGGGCAACTGACAGATGTTTAGATTTGACAGATACATCAAACCAATATTCATTGTACTCTGGAAGAGCAGAATATTTAGATGATGCTGGACTACCACACTAAAAAGTCTGGATTTTATTCATTTTACTGCATTTGTAACCCTCTAAAAATAAGCGTTACATTTATTCGTAATGCTGAACCATGTAGACATAGTTCCAATTTCTTCTTTTTGTAAATGTATCATCTGCATCATTATCAGCATTGGCAAATACGCATATGAAAAATATCTATCAGCATCAGCCCACTACTCCCAGATCAGCGCATCCTGATTCAAAAGAGATTCGGCAGGGTCACTATTAGGGACGTGCACAGGTACTCAAGTATTTGGTTAACTGTTCAGCATGCCAGTGTTTAAATACTGAAATCCCTATTCGGGTATTTATTACAGTTCATCATGGGAAGATGGAGAAAATATAAAGCCCAACAATTCAGTCAAACTTAACGTGAGCGCATCGTCAACAACAGGTTGTTAAGGTAGTGACAGGGAAGGCAAAGGCAGCATGGTGGCATTAGCTGTTGTCTTAGCTCATTAGCTCATCTAAAGAGACAGTTTCCATTATTCACATGACAAGAAAAGCTAATTTACAAGGCTATTTTCAAATAATAAAACAAAGGTACACCTTTGTATACTGCTGCAAATGTTTTGTTCAACACAAGTGCTGTCACCTAAAAAGGGAACATTAACCCTTAAGTATACTCATTATACACTTCAGTATACTCAGTTAGTCAGAGGACACATCTCTAGTCACTATAATGTAGCTAAAGAAAGCTAGCAAGTTACCTATTCAGTCAATAATTCATTGTCCTGCTGAAATGCACTTAGTTCTTGCTTTATCCCTCACACGTAAGTGCTAATCAATGATAACTAATTTAAAAGGCAATCTAGACATGACCTTTGTTTCCATGAATAAAAGTGTAGTTAATCATAGGTTTCCAGAGACAAATCACGACACAAAGATCTTACAAAAGAAGATAATCATCTAAGAGAGAACTCCCTCATGGGCCTTGATCTTTTCAAAGATCTCCTGGCCTTTACAATCACAGTGTATATCAGCCTAACATTTTGCATAAACAACATCTGTCAGCTGCAGAAGAGCCTCTTCTGTTGACTCTTGTTGCTTCAAGATTTGAAGCACATGTAGAGATGAGCCTAGCAGGCATTCAACACGAGCCGTGCCAATGAACATAAAGCTCAGACTTGTATGACAGCCTCTGAGGCTGACGCCTAATGCCTAAGATGAGGGTCCTCATGACTAATTCTCAAAACTCAATGCTTCAAAATGTCAAGTGTGAGAGATTCTGAAATACTGAGTTGACCTTGAAGAGCCTGACGAAAACCCCATTCTTATTCTTTCTTCTGCTAAAACAAAATCTTTTCAGCACAGATCCTAATCCTGCTTTCAAAAACCATAAAAATTAGAGGAAACAAGTAACCACACAGGTATGCAGGGTCTAGCACATCCCTGCAACTCATTTAACACATACTATTATGGGAAGCAGGGGATATAACACATACCATCAGATGAAGCAGGGGATAAAGTGGATGAAGTGTAATGATGGAGCTTATGAATATTCCTGTGCCTCTCTCTCCAGCTCGTAATTGAAGCCTTCAGAGTGGAACACAAAAGGAAACACAACAACACGAAATGAATTAGGTATTATTGTTCAAAACACACATTCAAAATGAAAGAAAAATCAAGACATGGTAGCGGGTCTAATTAATTCCCTGTGGGTTATCTCTGCTGTAAACAAGGATTAATTAGCCTAGACAACATACAAAAGATTTATGATATGACTTTATAGGGCATATCTAAAGAGAAGCAACTCACAAGCAAACAACAAGATGGTCTAATGTGAAATACAGTCTTGCTAGAAGGGCGGCAGGACTGATGTTAGGAGACACAGCTGAGCTGACTGCGCACAGTACATCTGTTTACACAAACAGTGATCACTCGGAATTTCTATTCAAGCGCCCACGCATACGAATGATGGCGTTTCCTAGACCTATCTCGCATGACCACTTGTTGCTTCAGTCCACGGCAACTCAACCCAGGGCCGTGTGCTGTGTGATTGGAGCGAATAGATTAAAGGAGGCTAAAAACAGTAAGCGCTGCAGGGAGGAGGAGCGCAGCAGAGCTCATGCACTAATGGCAGAGTCACTACAGCTAATGTCAGCGGAGCAGCTCCTTGGGCAGCTACTCCTCATCAAACGCTCGGACGAGACGAGCTCCATAATAAAGAGAACAGGGCAGTTGCCCCGTTTAAGCCCCAGAGATTCGTTAAGGGCTACAAGGATGTTGTTGCAGTGAAGCTGTTCTGCAGCATGCTCATCACACTGATTTATGCACTGTAGTTTGTGTTAGTCAGTTATAGAGTCAGGTAAGCTGGAGGTTTGCTGTTGCCCTTCTCAGAAAACAGGCTAACGTTAGTTAAGCTAGCGAAGTGAGAGCTGTTTCCTCTGATGCTGATATTGACAGTTAACCTATTTTACCCACATGCAGTGGCTAATGCTAAGTTATAAAAGTCATTCTTTGCATTCGGACTAACTTACCACTGACCAGTTAGCTACAGTCTTCTCAGACAGCACAGTTTACCACACGAAAGCTCAAATGGAGAGATATCTGTGGTGTTTAAACTGTCAGCTAACTGTCAGCTCACTTACAAACAGAAAACAAACGGCTAGCCGCTGCAGTTAGCAAGCGTTAGCTAGCTCGTTACTAGTAGCTCCCCTCAGCTACAAGTACATTTGGGCAAACCGAACAGCGAGAGCGCCTAGTTACCTCCGCATGTTTACGTTCAGCTTTGGGACATGGCGTATTTGACAAAAGTGTTAAATACATGAACAAACCCGCAGCAGGAGCGTCAGCCTGATGAGCTGCTTCACTCAGTGTAACAGGCAACAACTTCTCTGTGTGAAGTTTAATGTGAGCGCGGAGTGAGGGCAGGAAATGAGCGTCACGCAGAAAGGCGGAGCGGAGCGCTCCCTCCACTCCGGCTGGGATTCGTGCAGTACAGTTCCTGAACACATTTAAGACCCATAACTGAAGTTTTACATGTCAGGGTATCCATATGTTTTCTGAGTTTACCCACATTTGTCAAGTGAATTGAACCATATGCCTAAAAAGTAAGATTTTATATCGTAATATTGACTTTATTAATCATATTAAAGTCATTCTGCTTCTGGTAACGTGCGACTAAAGGTATGTATCAAATTTAGTTGAAAATCAAAGTATGTAAATTTCTTGATACAAAAAAATACAGTGACATACACAATTTCATCACGTTAGACCAATCCTGGCATTTTCCTTATTACACAAAATGAAGTTATTTTACACGAATGGGTCAAAGCTACAGTAAAACATTAGTACAATAATAAAAGCAGTAGTAAATAAACAACTGAATACCTTTAGATGGCACATTTTTGAAGAGCAGCCAGTCTTACAATAACAACAACAACAACAACATTAATAAAAATAATGTTCTGAGTGTGACTATATTCTCCTTGTTACTGCTGAGTTTTTCCTTTTTGGGGTTTGGGTTGTTTGTGTGTTGTAGGCAGGAGTTTGTGACAGAAATGAGCAGTGGCAGGTTTACTCAATCATCTCTCACCTCATGACATCACACAGTGACCCCTTCCTCACCCTTCCTCGGTGAGACACTGTCCTACTGTACCGTGACGCTGAGTGTTTCGTTCAATATGGTGCTCTTTTCACTGTCACCTCTGGTTTGCCACCAGGTCTGCTACAATGTGAGGTCAGTGTTATTTTCAGGTCAGAGAAAATGGAAGGTGTCGGTGCCAAGGTTCAGAGTAGTTAGAAGGTGAAACAGTCCACCTTGCTTGTTCTCTCCCTGTAAAGTTTTTATTAGTTGTTTTTACACAACAAGTCCATGATCACTCGCTTGTGCGGGGGCTTATTTTTGTCTTTCGTATTACTTGTAATTGTAAGGTGTTGGTGTAGTAAATAATGTGAAGACTTTTAATCATAATATCAGTTGCATTATGACACTTTTTCTAACTCCATCCAATAATATGTATAAATCCACTTTAAAGGGGCATTCCAGACTAAAACTAGTATTTATTGTTATTTATCGTGTTATATGATATTCTGTAGCACAGCATTGCATCCCTCTGCCTCATCTGTTTGACAGAATTAATGATTTTGTGTCCTTTTTGTGTCGTCCATTGATGTTCCCTCACTACATTACCCAGCATGCATTACACAACCATAGCCACTGATGTAGCGGCTAACTAAATATTTGGATTGCTAGCAAAAACGTTAGCTATCTGGTTTCCTTCTGTGTTAGCCAGCTAGCGGTATAAAAAGTTCAACAAGCCCAACTTGAAGTAGACACCCCAAAACCCTTGTAGTTTGTCAGAAGATGCATCATCAGAGGGATTTTCCAGGTTTAAACCAGAAAATCTCAGAAACTACTGTCACACTGTTGTAGGAGGTGAGTAGAGTGCCACACTTAAATTCAGATCAGAAATCATGACTCATTTTCCATACGTACCTTTACGTATTTCCAAGTGACATGCAGTATCAGGGAGTCCCTTTAAACTAGCTGAGCATTTTCCCTCATTGATAGGCAGGGGTGGTGGGAGGAGGAGGTGAAGCTTGATATTATTAGTTAACATTATTTTTCCCCACCTGCTTGTGCACAGTGATATAATCAAAACACAGAATACGTTTTAGAGGTTTAGATGGGAGATTACAGGAAAATAAGATCAATATGACCAGGAACATGAACTAACATTGGGTTAAATTTCAGGTTGATTTATATTGAATGCTGTGCAAAATTCCAGTGTAAAAAGCCAAAAACAAACAAACCTCCTCTCCAGAATGTAGGTTCTCAGACCTCTCAGAGTACAGAGCATGATCTGCTTTTCCGCTGGACTGTCTTTGGCTGATTATTTGTTGGGATTGTGTCAGTAATGTGAAGTAATCCTGTTAGGCCGCCTTTAGAGAGAGCAAGAGCAGATTACCAATGTCAAAGTAATGAGAATCAGCTAGCCATGTTACTAGACTACAAATCCCAATTGTCACACTCATTGTGACAGAGTGTGGAGTAAGAGCCTATAATACACAGAGGCTTTATTAAAAAGTGGAACATTAGCATTTTGTGGTAAACAAAAACAATGCGTATTTGCAAATGTATTTTTCCATTATTAGGGCTTTGTTTCTGTGATACACAAATAGATTCAGTGAACTTCCCAGTTGAATGTAGTAATTTCCAGGAACTTAAAAAATTCACAGCCTTTTTGTGCTTGTTTGTTGTGTACATTTAGCATTGTCCTTGAAGCTTTATTAATAGTGCCATTCCAATATTTGCAGCTCGTGGCTATGGGGTGTGATCTTGTAGTCTTGTTAATGTTCAAACCCCACAATTAACACATCAGTAAAAGCTGGGTTGCTAGTTGTAGCATTATCAGATACAGCCTTTCTTTTCAGAGCAGTTTGGAGAGCTAGTCACTGGGCTAAGTTTGGGATAATATGCTATTATTTGACATGTCATGTAGGAATTAGTAATATTGAAATAAACTTATCTGTCTCCTGGTCCATTCATGTACATGCACATGGACAGCATGGATTTCTTCTTGTCAGAGCTGTGACACAGGCACTGTGGCTGCTATAAGGGCTCTTACGGCATCAACAGCAGAGCCTTAGAGACCTGTTATCAACAGGGTCTGGGCCGGGGCCTTGCTTCAGGCACTTTCCTGATGAAATGTCACATGTTTATGGGCAGTAACTCAGCTTGGACAGGCTCATAATGAGACCACTGAGAACACGGCACCCGTCAGACCTCTTCCAGTGTTCTGTACATGCATGATCATGTGTTTGGAAGAGTGAGTCTTAGCCTATATCAGGACACTTGTTAAATGTCTCCCACGCACTGTGAGTGCCCGAAGGAGGCCACACTATGAGAACCAGAAAAGAAACAAGGCTGTAAAATTGGTGCACATGAGCACAGACACCCTCATCAGGCTTTTTTATGAGTTGGTCGTATTAAAGCCAACATGCACAGTAAATTCAGCACACTATGAGGATTTACAGTACTTGGAAAATCTGTTTCTCCAGTTTGAGACTTTTTGCACGGAGTGACCTGTGGGAGGTCTGCAGGAGATCCCTGAGGTACACTCTAAAAAAATCGACATTATTAAATGGTTAAGATGTAAACAAAGTAATTCAGGGTGGTTTTATTTAAGATGCCCCATTCTAGAAAAACGCACCCAGTCGGAATTGTTCACAGCAGTTTTGGTAGGAATGTCTGATGCATTTAATACTTCGAAAAGTTGTCTTATAAAGATGGTTATGAATATTCTGGCTGATGATTGAGAGATTGTTTTCATGATGGTTTTGTGATAATGTTTTGGTCTAAAACATTTTTTTTAATAATTTTTGGCAGAAAGGTACATGCAGGGCATTGTAAGGCAAAATAGTCCCCAAAGAAAACTTTTCATATTATCATTGTCAACATTACATTTAAAACTCAGAGGACAAGTGCAGGTTTACTGGTCATTTAAAATGGCTATATTTGTGTTGTAGACATCTCAACCTCTGGTTCCTATCACCACCATTGTAAAGAAATCTGAGTGTGAATGATTCTGAATGTTTAACTAAATGTTTAAGTGTGTGGTTTGGGATGCGGCCATATATTCTTTTGTAGCAAAAAGTAGTAACCTTTTGTAGCAACCTGTTGCCCGATTAGACAAGCTTTAAAGAACACTGACAAAAACCCATTTAACCCAAACTAGAGCACATTTAGAACATTATTAATTTCAAATATTCAAATATTTATTTTGTATGCATGTGAAAGGTCACACCACTAGGATAGAGAAGATGTAGATGTCGTTGTGTAAACTTATTAGCAAATTCGTTATTGTTTCCAGTCTGACTAGTTTTGATTAGCTACAACAACATAGTCCAGCTTGATGGCAGAGCATTTAACGTGGAAATATGACATTATACAATGGCTCTGAACAAAGTGTACTATAATTACTTGTTAGGTTGAATGAGATTTTTCTCAATGTTTGTAAAGCTTTCTCAACCTGGCAACCGTTACTATGGAACAACACATTGTGGGCAGAACATGGATAGGTTAGTTGGAATAGAAGCTTCTTAGAAGCTTTGGTTATTCCAAAAATTGGCTATTCAGAGAAACATCTATTGAGAGGTTCTTGAGGGAAGCAAAGGTGGTTACTGTATGGAATTTCTCCCGAGAACTCTTTTTGGCATCATTCTTTTTAAGAGTGTAAGCCACTCTTGTTACAAGAAATGCAGTAAAAAGGAAAAAAAAGTGTGAGCCAGGGTGCTGTCTCATTCATGCGTGGCTAATTTGAGGCTGTGGTGAGAGGCTGTGCGGTGACTCCACAGATCGATGTGCCATTTCCAGCCTCTCAGTGGGCAGTGCAGAGAAGCTCCAGGCCTCCCTGCTGAGTGGAGAGGTGAGACAGGACACTCTCTTCTTTATTCAGCACCTCAAAAAGCTCCATGTTAATTTGACATCCAAACACGACTTTCTAGCTGCAATGAATTTCACACCAGAGAAGATTTGTTTTGCTGCATGTAATTTATTACACAGCACAAATTCACATTATCATGCTTCTTCCTCTCCACCACTATTTGGTGACATCAAAAGTGCTTGAAATGTGATTATGCTTGATTTCACAGGTTTCTCTACTTGATTACACATACCAATTCCACCAGCACTACAACATAAGGTGACGTCAAGGAGATTTACAACATATTCATTGAAAACACGTTCACCTCAACCCACATCAGTCCTGTTTTTCTACATCTCTTATTCAGGCACATGTGTCTCTTGAATAATGACCATTTGAAACCTGAATTACTTTCATTATTTTGCATACACCATTCTAAATTCACTCTGAAAGACTGTATGAATGTGTAATATTATCTGGATTATTTATTTAAAAAATTGGAAAGACTTAAAGGGGAATTCCACATTACAAAGGGATTTATTTTCTAATTGTTTGTATAGTTAAGTATAGTTATTTTAAGATGTAAA